AGGTGTGCTCTGATTGGCCAGCTATCCAGTGCGTTGTGATTGGCCGAATACCTCAAGCGTGTGACGGAAATGTTACATCCCTTTACCATACTGTGATGCCTGCGGCAACCACATGTGACAGCATCATATGACCCCTTTAATATAACTCCGATTGGATTCCTCTGAAAGAAGAAAGTCATTGCCATGTGAAATAACTAAAGTTAAAACTGAAGCAAAAAACAACCTAATAAAAATGTCACAACAAAATTACTAAAAATCTAACTAGAATTAAAATGAAAACTGAAAATACAAAAATAACTCATTAAAAATAATAATAAAATAGCTAAATTAGTATCTCAGTGGTGCTAAAATAACAGAACTTTAAGAGACCACCATAAAAGCTGTTCTTGCTCTTGTGCTGCAGGTTCTTCTTTGGACTGTGAGCAGGCTGAGGATTCGTGGCCGCTGGACATGGACGACTTACTCAGATTCTCCTATCAGGTGGCGCAGGGACTCAACTTCCTCACTGCTAAAAATGTGAGTCCCTAAAATAAGCAGCCTTCACCAAACACAATGAGATCTGTGTGAGCTCTGGAGGAAGTTACATTCACAAACAATAAATCAACTTCATTTAACCGAGAACTGATCAAAAGTGAATTGGTGTCATTTTTCTCTGCAGTGCATCCACAGAGACGTGGCGGCCAGAAACGTCCTCCTCACCAACAGCCGAGTGGCCAAGATCTGTGATTTCGGTCTGGCGCGAGACATCATGAACGACTCCAACTATGTAGTCAAAGGAAACGTGAGCGAACAAACGTCACAAACACTCCACTGAGATTCCAGCTGACAAAAACACGTTTGGCTAATGTTCCCATTACGCATTAGCATTCTCTGAATGTTCAAAACATCCAGTTTAATGTTTTTAAAAAGATTTTCTTGGTTATTCGATGAGGAAAAATTCTGTTTTATTGCTTGGTAAGCATTATGGGAACGTTAGTTTGAATGTTCTCTGAATGTTCTGACACAAGTAGTTACATTTCAGAAAATTTTTTCCAAAAATTATGTAAAAACATTTTTGTGCTAATGTTTTCGGAACATTATAAAAATGTAGAAATTCTATTAACGTTACTGGAAGAGAATTTGTTTAATTATGAGAAATATATACAGTATGTGTGTGTGTGTGTGTGTGTAGGCACGTCTTCCAGTGAAGTGGATGGCTCCAGAGAGTATCTTCGACTGTGTTTATACGGTTCAGAGTGACGTCTGGTCTTACGGGATCCTGCTGTGGGAGATTTTCTCACTGGGTGAGACTGAAACCCTTATATTACGTTGCGGGTCCATTTGGCCTGCATCGGTTTTTAAGTTGTTGGAAATACTGGTTAAACTATGATTTTTTTTCGTGATGTTTTGGGATTTTTTTTTCATTTGGAGTCATGAACATGCATGCAGTTTTGACACTTGTGCTTACAAGATTTCTATTATGATGTGATGTTCTTGAGCAGTTTGACCCATTCATTTTATGGCTAAAGGCAGATGGGCAGAAAATAAAATGACATTCATGTTTATGCATATTCTTTTATTCAAAGACATTTACACGGCATTGATGGTGTACATTTTTATTAGTTAATGCGCATTCATTTTGCTGGGAATCGAACCCATGATCTTGGTGTTGCAAGCGTCATACGCTTCTACTGTTAAGCTTTGGAAAAGCACACAGAAAAAGTGATAATCCACACACTTTTTCTGTTTAAAATATATATTTTTAAAATACTTATAATACTGTTAATAATAAATAAAATATTTTAAAAATAGTTGTTAAATAACATTTTAGAAATCAAATGTTTCTTTTTTGGAATGTGTGAGTGTTGTTTTTATTTTATTTATTTTTTTAATTACATGGAATCCAACTGGGGTTAATTTGACTCACAACATCACAATCGTACCCAGATTTTTAACATAAAAAAGTAATAAAAAAATACACAAACACACTTCTGACAACAAGAAGTTTGTATGGTTTGAAATGTGGTTTCTCTGCTGAGCGCAAAACCTTTTTTAATTTAAATATGAAATCATTTCCAGTCTCCCTGAACCCTTGGTTCTGGTTTGAAGTCTCTGTAACAAATGCATGATTTTCTCTTATTGGAGTAAATGTGTGTGTCTGCAGGTAAAAGCCCGTATCCCAGCATACTGGTGGACTCCAAGTTTTATAAAATGATCAAATGTGGCTATCAGATGTCCAGACCTGACTTTGCACCTCCAGAGATGTGAGTGAGACAAACAGTATCACACAAACATAATCAATCTTTCACAATTCAGAGTTATAGTGAAGTCAACAAAACTGTGTGAAATAACACAAATGCAAGCGTAAAACAGACGTCATGATCTCAACCATCTGCATGCTCTTCATCATACACTACAGTGAAGAGCACTTCATGTTGCTTTACTGCAGTAGTGTTATTTTAGTATCACTGAGATTCTATTATAGATCGTATTCATATTTTACATTTATATTTTCTGTTTTCACCTTAATTTTAGTTAAATATTGAGTCATTTTGTTTTTTCATACGTGTATAGTTTTTTTTAGAAATGTTTATTTTAATTTTAGTATTTTTTTTGTGTTTTTGTCAATTTTATCAGGTTTTTTTTTGTTTTAAATATTTCTATATAGTTTTTTATTAATTATTTCAGTGTTAGTATTTTGTTGTGCTTGTCATTTTTATCTTTTTTTAACGTCTATATGGCATTTTATTAATTTTTATTCCAATTTTAGTTTTATTCATTTTTATTTCCATTTTAGTTTGATTTATTTTAGTATAACAGTTAAACTAAATGAAAATAAGAAATGTTACCTTGGCACCTAGATGTAAAATAAGCTTAAGATTTTTATTTGATTTCAAATTGTTTTTATTTATTTATTATTATTATTATTATTATTTGTAAAGGCATTCATAACCAGAATTTTCTCCATTGGCAAAGGCATTCATATTAGTCTCTAAAACTAAATCCAAGCATTTAAGAAGGAACTTTTAGATGAAACGTTTTTAAATATCAGTCTAGTTTGTCCAAATCTTTGATCATGTGTGTGTAGTGTGTAGTTTTATTCTCATCACATCACGACACATGAATCCTTCTAGAGACTCACACAAATAGAAAAATAAAACCCATGAAAAACAGCAGCAGAACGACTGGATCTGAATCAGAGCTGTGCATGGAAAATCAGTCAACATCAGCCACTGTTGAGAACTCATCATCTCATGCTTTTTTGTTAAACACATGATCTGACGGCAAGGCCTTGATTTTCCACACATTTCATGCTCGTCCTCTCAGCTTCATCCTCACGTCTCTCTCTGCAGCGACTTTACTGAACTTCAGTATCTCTGCATGAGGGTAACAGAGTAAAGATTCATAAACCATCACTATTTTAGTCGTTCCACTGTTGGTTTAAAAATACTGACTTTTATTTTTTAAAATCCAAGCAGTGTTTTTCATTGAGCATCGTAATTTGGTACTTCAGTGCTTTAAAACAACTATTTCAACTATAAAGAGTGGATCTGAAACATGGTGATAACAGTATTTTTATGATTTTGTTACAAAACTAGAAGAGTGTGTTAATTGCTTCAGTTTACGCTGCAGGAAAGTGACCAATGTGACCAAAAAACAGCAATCGAGTGTTTAGTCACGCTACGCTCAACTCTCTACAAAACCCCGTTATGAGAAACAGGCCTCATTTCACCTCAGAATACAAAGAAAAAAATCTGAAATTATATATATATATATATATATATATTTTATTTTTTTTTTGGCACTATCGCTTAATGCAGCAACTAAAAATAGAGGCTTCATTTTCCATATACAATATATTCCTATTTCTATCAATATATATCCTATTTGGTTTTTGCGGTGAAAGTGATAGTAAAGCACATGATGCTGTGTTCAGGTACACCATCATGAAGATGTGCTGGAACCTGGAAGCCGCTGAGAGACCAACATTCAGTAAGATCAGTCAGCTGATCGAGAGGATGCTGGGAGACACAGATGATCAACAGGTACATCACTCTGATAGATAGATATCATCTGTCTATCAGTATCCACCTTATGTTTCACTGTGGAAGTAAGATATTTCCAGCTACATGCAAGCTATGGGTAGATAACTAGAAGAATAACGAAGTGCAGTAAACTATTTGTGCTACAAACCATTATGTTTGTAATTCCTTTTTTTTTTTTTTTTGTTATTAAACAATATGATAAATCAAAGCAGCATAACCGACCGATTTTATACAGCTAAAATAACTGGAAGTGAATGACACTGGAAGCCACATACATCCAAGATACAAATGGCCACGCTGCTCGTATGAAATAAATATATTAAAAAAAAAGTTTTTTAAATACCGTGGATACACCATAATCAGTGAACCAGTACACCATTATTTTGCATTCTACTTTTGTCTAATTTAGCATTTTTAATTTTGCATTCTGCATTTTAATTTTGCTTTTTTTTTTTTTTGCATTTTATTTAGCGATTTGCATTCTAATTTCACATTTTAATTTTGTATTTTGCTTTTTAATTTAACATTTTAATTTTGCATTCTTGTACTTTGCATTTTAATTTAGCATTCTAATTTGCATTTGCATTTTAATTTTACATTCTAATTTTGTCTTTTGCATGCTGCATATTGCATGCTGCATTTTAATTTTGTACTTTGCATTTTAATGTAGCATTCTAATTAGCATTTGCATTTTAATTTTGCATTCTAATTTTGTATTGTGCATTTTTAATTTTGCATTGTGCATTTTAATTTTGCTTTCTAATTTTTGTATTTTAGTTTTTCATTTTTCATTATGTATTTCACATTTTTATCTAATTTTCTGTAAAAATGCCTTTGAGGCAACTTTTTGCATTCTGGTCAGATGATTAGATGAGATGTTAAAAATTGAGATTGATATCACTTTAAGTGCATTGCATTGTGGGATACGTTATCTCACACAGTGTACATGCTGTACTATTTGAAAAATATAGTTGGTCATCCATATATTCCAGAAAAACCGTGTACATACTGCAGGATTAGTTCAAGTGTGTGTGTGTTATTAATATGTTTTATTTTGAACAGTCCAGAGTAATGAACGAGTCATATTCATGAATTATTTCCACAGGAGACACAGTACAAAAATGTCCAGTCCAATGCACATGATGACCAACAACTAGAGTCATGTGACCCTGTGAAGCATGAAGAGGAGTCATTTGAGACATCATGTGACCAGGAAGAAGAGGATCAGCCGCTCATGAAACCCAACAACTACCAGTTCTGCTGAGGGCTTAACTAACCATCTAACTAACTAAAGCGGGATCTTCTGTCTGAACATCAACAACAGTTGCACAATCCGTCCACAAACGCATGCTTGTGGACAGAGATCTGACCTGTCATCAAACGCGCTCAGTGTGTGATTTTACACGCTCTGCTTTTGTAGTTCTGCTCGCTTGAAATCTCGTAAACAGTCTTGAACTCGTCTGCAGAGTTGAAGCGTGTTTAATCCAACCGGTTTCACTTCTCAGCAAAGTCCAAAACCTCCAAACCTCGGATTTGTTTGTCGTCCGATGTGCCTTTTTGGTAAACGTGCGTCTTTATTTGTTGCGGGACTTCTCTGTTGCCAAGGTTGGAAAGCAGCGTGTTCAGCGTTTTAAATGCAGATGCTGCATGTTCCACTTCCACTTTATACTTGATCTGCGTGTCAGTCATTTTTCTTCCTTTAAAGTCACTGAAAATGACCACAGACACATAACTCTTTTTGTGCAGCTAAAATAACTAGAAGCGAATGACACCGGTAGCTTCACCTAGTCAAGATACAAATGGCCACAATCTTATGTTAAAAATAAAGTGTATACACCATATACAACCTACTTTTTTATTTTTTATTATTGTCAGTGTAACAGTATGCTATAACAGCACATTTGGCAATTTCATTTTTTTTTTTTTTTTGCATTTCATTTGATTGTTTTTTTTGCATTTTATTTGATTATTTATTTTAATTTTGCGTTTTATTTTTTTTAGCATTTTTAATTTCGCTTTCTAAGTTTGCATTTGATTTTATTATTTCTTTTCTTTTTTTATTTCTTTTTTTTTTCATTTTAGTATATTTAGCTAATTATTTTGAACTCAATGTCACACATAACTCACCTGTAATCGTCATGCCAACACGGGTTGAGTTTGACGTGGCTGAAGGTAATCAGTGCAGGTCAGAGGACAGATATGAAATCTTTCTGTCCGTTTGTCTCCTGCTCTAGTTCTTAGTCAATCTTTGTAGGCAAACACAGTATTTTATTGCTTCCCGCAGTGATTACGGTCATTTGGAGTGATAGTGTGAGGTCAGCACAGGTTTGGAGGACAGATTCACGTCTCCAACGGGTGAAATATTGACATGCTGTTGGCGCAATAATGTTTCGGCAATGTTTCGTTGTCTTATTTCTTCAGATAACTAAGGGTCAAAGGTTAAATGCGTTCACGTTTATCACTGAAGCCTTAGGTATAGTGAGGAAAACAATGACTGACGGCGCACAAACCATTTCAGGAAGAAAAACTAACCATTTGCTTTTCCTTTAATGTAAAATGAAAGGTAGATAGTTTCATTTCATTTTCATAGGCATATGTACACTTGATTATTTTGATGTGCAGGAAGTGTTTAGATAGCAGAAATCTTGTAAGCTGAATGTCACATTTCTTAACTGTTTAACTTAACTGTCAAATGAAGCATCAGAACTGCTGAGTAACTTTAGGTTGCTTAAAACTTGTGATTATTCAAGTAGTCAATGAAACAGTATATGCCATGCCTTAGAGCATTTAGCAATTTAATTTCACATTTTGCAAAACTTACTTTATTTGCAATTTCATTTCACATTTTGCAAAACTTACTTTAGTTGCAATTTAATTTCACATTTTGCTTTTGCATTTTAATGTAATTTTCAAACATTTACTTTAATTTGACTCTCAAACAGAAAAAAATCTGTCATGTTTTTTGTAGTTTATTAACAGTTTTAAATGGGTAAATCTTTGTTTTTATACTCCGAACTGTTTGCTTTCGTCAAAGTTTATTTGAACTCTCAAATGAAGCATCAGACACACTGCCGTTGTAACTTTAGGTTGCTTAAAATGTGATTAACCTGATGTTTTCTTTCTCAAAGCACAAACTGCCATGTTTATATGTTTATACTATATCCTTATTTACATTTTTTCTTATGCAACAGTTTTATGGTTTAAAGTTCGATTATGTGAGATTTAATCATTGTAATGACGTCTTTTCTCAGTGTTTATCTGTGTGTTAATAGTTCCCATGAGTCTTATCGTAATGAGTTTTGCACCTTTGATATCTACACATCTGTATATTTTAGTTTTACTACAGAACTTGCTACTGAAAGCTACTAATAAACCACGGAAATGTCGCATGATCTCGTTTTATCAGTGAAAATAGTTTATTAGGCTTGTGAGGTTAATCCATGTCAAACACGAACTCATATTTGAGACTGAGCACATTATGTGTTATGAAACGGATATCTCAGAATAAACACTTAAACGTCTTTCTATGCATGAAAAAGCCATCAAAATATGAAATTAAAATAAATACTGTCGGTTTTCCACTTGTAGTGGGTTTCACGTTTCTGTGGGCAATAATATGCTTGTTATTTACCATCATAAACATGTCAGATTAAGATATAATGTCAGAGACAAACAAGGCTAGTTATTTTTCAAGCAACATGAATCTGCAGACATCATTTACTCACTAATGTCATTACAAGCCTGTACTTTACACAAAAGTAGATGTTTTCTGCGCTCAAAAAATCATGGCATGGTTTTTGTTATTACCTATTTGTATCTATTTGATTTGATTTAAATCATATTTTGAAAATGCATTTATTCAAATTGCTAGGAATCAGCAACAATCTGTTTACCGTGAAAACGATTAAATTGCATTTATATGCATCGCATTGTTAAAAATCGATGGCGATTTTATGTGCAATTCAAATACAGTCAGGTCCATATATATTTGGACACAGGCAAAATTTGTATTATTTTAGCTGCTGACAAACATATTCAAGTTACAGTTATATAATGAATATGGGCTTAAAGTGCACACTCTGAGCTTTAATTTGAGGGTATTCTCATCCAAATTGGAGGAAAGGTTAAGGAATTACAGCTCTTTAATATGAACCTCCCCCTTTTTCAAGGGACCATAAGTAATTGGACAGTCGACTCAAAAGCTGTTTCATGGACAGTTGTGGGCTATTCCTTCATTATTTCTACATCAGTTAAGCAGGTCAAAGATCTGGAGTTGATTCTAAGTGTGCCATTTGCATTTGGAAGCTGTTGCTGTGAACCCACATCATGCAGTCAGTCATTCTTACGCATTTTATGTTATATTTTTGTTAAACCCCTTGAATTAAAGCTTAAAGTCTGCACTTTAATTTCATCTTAATTGTTTCATTTTACTTCTATTCTGGTGGCGTACAGAGCCGAAATTATGAAAATTGTGTCCAAATATATATATGGACCTGACTGTAAATCTTTTAAATAATTAATTTTTTTTGTTTGTTTCATAACAGTAAATGTGTGCCATATTCCAGTACTTCTGAAATCATACAACACATGTGTTCATGGACTGAAAAAAGCTGCATAAAAATGCTTAAAAAATCATTTTGGGTGAATAAATGACGACAGTTTATTTTCCATGAATTATTCCCATCATCCAAAGTGCTTACAGGATCTGAAACAACCTCGTAGTTTGTTTGTCTCCACATCATCTCTAAAAAAAATATATATATATATATTTTTTTTTTTAATAACAAATAAAATATATTCGTTTTTCCTGAATGCAGAAGTCATGCCTGACTCTTAACCGGAAGGATGCTTTGCATTTCCGATCTCCAGTGTTTCTAGTCAAATTAGTGTATATTCCGAGTTGATAATCTAATGTTGAACCTATTAAAATGTTTTTTAAAAAGCATATGGCTCTATAGCGCCATCACTTTACAGTGTCGCAATGACTGTCGTTTGTCAGTGCCTTACTCCTCAAAGTTTAATGAGTGTGTAGATGATACAAAGCTGCCGATGTTAGCTACATTAAAAACGGATGGGCACTATTTGAATGGGTTCCTATAGAGACGGGAACAGAAGAGCATCCAATCAGAAGTTAGAATTCGTAATGGCGGCGCTCATTGTTTACTTAGGAAAAAGGTCTATAAAACAAAACTATAGAAAATGAGTGTGGTGAACTGAAGAGAAGAAGCACCAACACGGAGCTGTGATTCTGAAGGATCTGGAGAGAATCTGGATGAAGGAATGGTCTCTGATCTCTTATCAGATGTTCTCCAAACTCATCAGGCATTACAGGAAAAAACTCAGGGCTGTTATCTTGGCAAAAAATACAGGATACAAGGCTGCCAATAACTGTGACCAAAGTGTATTAGAGAAAAACATTTATTTCATAAGATTTCCCCTCTATTTTCAAGAATAAATGACGACAGTTTATTTTCCATGAATTATTCCCATCATCCAAAGTGCTTACAGGATCTGAAACAACCTCGTAGTTTGTTTGTCTCCACATCATCTCTAAAAAAAATATATATATATATATTTTTTTTTTTAATAACAAATAAAATATATTCGTTTTTCCTGAATGCAGAAGTCATGCCTGACTCTTAACCGGAAGGATGCTTTGCATTTCCGATCTCCAGTGTTTCTAGTCAAATTAGTGTATATTCCGAGTTGATAATCTAATGTTGAACCTATTAAAATGTTTTTTAAAAAGCATATGGCTCTATAGCGCCATCACTTTACAGTGTCGCAATGACTGTCGTTTGTCAGTGCCTTACTCCTCAAAGTTTAATGAGTGTGTAGATGATACGAAGCTGCCGATGTTAGCTACATTAAAAACGGATGGGCACTATTTGAATGGGTTCCTATAGAGACGGGAACAGAAGAGCATCCAATCAGAAGTTAGAATTCGTAATGGCGGCGCTCATTGTTTACTTAGGAAAAAGGTCTATAAAACAAAAAATATATACATATAAATAAAAATATTAAACGGAACCTGTGTTCGTTGTCCATCACATACGCCTGCCCATATCATAACCCCACCGCCACCATGGGCCACTCGATCCACAACAATGACATCAGCAAACCGCACACCCACACGACGCCATACACGCTGTCTGCCATCTGCCCTGTACAGTGAAAACCGGGATTCATCCGTGAAGAGAACACCTCTCCAAAGTGCCAGACGCCATCGAATGTGAGCATTTGCCCACTCAAGTCGGTTACGACGACGAACTGCAGTCAGGTCGAGACCCCGATGAGGACGACGAGCATGCAGATGAGCTTCCCTGAGACGGTTTCTGACAGTTTGTGCAGACATTCTTTGGTTATGCAAACCGATTGTTGCAGCAGCTGTCCGGGTGGCTGGTCTCAGACGATCTTGGAGGTGAAGATGCTGGATGTGGAGGTCCTGGGCTGGTGTGGTTACACGTGGTCTGCAGTTGTGAGGCCGGTTGGATGTACTGCCAAATTCTCTG